GAGGGTATACTATACCCTTCATTTGGAATTCATAAAAGAGGGAATTGATTGTTGTTGGATATTGTTTTGGGGATTGTTCTTAATTTTAATCTGGTGTTTTATAAAAATTACTTAGTCCCTTCAGTTTGTTTGTGTATTTGGAGATTTAATTCAATTTTTTTGTTATGCTTAAGGGTTATGCTGTTTAATTGAGATTCGGAAGTTTAGACCTCTGCGGCAAGCTGCTGGATTTGGATGATACTTTTGCATATTCATTGAGTGTGCATTGATAAGGGTGAAAAGAATTGGCATGGAGTGCAATAAAGATGATGCAATCAAGGCAAGAGAGATTGCGGAGAGGAAGTTTGATGCCAAGGACTTACCGGGGGCCAAGAAATTTGCGCTCAAGGCACAGAATTTGTATCCTGGTCTTGAGGGGATTTCGCAGATGTTGGCAACTCTTGATGTGTATGCCGCTGCAGAAGATCCAGTGCTCGGGGAGGCAGATTTTTATGGTGTGCTTGGTGTGACCCCTAAATCAGATGATGATACGATAAGGAAGCAATATAGAAAGCTTGCTCTTATGCTCCATCCTGACAAGAACAAGTCTATTGGAGCAGAAGGGGCTTTTAAGCTAATTTCAGAAGCCTGGAGCTTGTTATCTGACAGAAACAGGAGAGCTGCCTATGATTCAAGAAGGAACATTAGGGGTTTTTCGCAGAAGACTAAACCTCCTTCACAGAGTTCATCTGTGCCGCCTGGTGCTACTGGTTTTTACAACTTTGCTAAAGCTACCATGTCTAATCCCAAAGTTAATAAAAATACCTCCCCATCAAATGGCTCTTCTGTTCCTGGTTCATCTAAGAAGGCAAATCAGAACTCTTTTTGGACTGTTTGCCATAGATGCAAGATGCAGTATGAATACCTTAGATGTTATCTTAATCACAATTTGCGCTGCCCTAATTGCCGCAAGCCATTTTTCGCCATAGAGACACCCCCACCCGTTTCAAATGGTTCTGAATCGTCAAAACCACGGGAAGATTTCCAACACTGGCAAAACTCTCAACAGGAAGCGAGAAACAAAAGTAGTCATAATGCTAGGCATAACACAGATAACTTACAGTGGACTCCATTCTCAGGAGCAACTGGTGTTTCATCTGTTTCTCAAGCTGCAAATGTGGTTCAACAGACATATGAGAAGGTTAGAAGAGTGCACGAGGAAGCACAAGCTGCCAGAAAACGAGAAAAGGCTAAAAGGAAAAACGATGCTTCTGGAGAAATGATCGGTTCCTCTAGCGAAAAAAAGAAGAGAGTGAGTGATGATGGCAATATGAACAATAATCATATGGGCCTTGGAGGTGCTGGAGTTGGCATATCAAGCACAATCCCACCACCCAGGCACAGTGGTACTCGGTGGTCTGGGTCAGTTTATGCAAGTAGAATCGGTGAACTCAACCGTACTAGGGAGCTATCCCAGAGCGAATTGCGCAGCATATTGATGCATAAGGCTAGGAAAGAAATTCTTACAAAAATAACTGAATGGAATTCTGCTAGTATGTTAAACAATGCTGCTCAAAAGGAGAAAGGAACTAAGAAATCTCATGACAAGGACAATAGGCAGGAAAATGCGGCGATAAATGGCAACTTGGGAATGGAGTCTAGTAAAGCAGCAGACTCTGGCTTAGTTTCTGAGGATAAGTCCCTGTTAAGTGCGACTCAAGATCGACTATCAATTCCTGTTCCTGATCCAGAATTCTATGATTTTGACAAGGATAGGACTGATAGGAACTTTAGGGAGAATCAAGTATGGGCTTTATATGACAATGATGATGGCATGCCCAGATTTTATGCTATGATTCAAAGCGTAATATCTCGGGATCCATTCAGGATACGGATCAGTTGGTTAAATTCAACAACAAATACAGAACTTCGTCCTTTAAATTGGGTTGGTTCAGGTTTCTCAAAAACATGTGGAGACTTCCGAGTAGGCCGGCATGAGAAACATGATGGTCTGAATTGCTTTTCACATAAAGTTAGATGGACAAAAGGTTCACGTGGAGCTATTCGTATCTTTCCAAGGAAGGGAGATGTGTGGGCACTGTATAGGAATTGGTCTCCAGACTGGAATGAACTCACTGATGATGAGGTGATACACAAGTATGACATGGTGGAAGTACTAGAAGATTATGATGAGGAGCTTGGAGTTGTTGTAATACCACTTGTCAAAGTTGCTGGCTTCAAGGCTGTTTTTCATCATCACTTGGACTCAAAACAAGTGAGGAGAATCCCTAAGGAGGAGATCTTCCGGTTTTCTTATCAGCTTCCTTCTCACTTGCTTTCAGGTCATGAATCTCCTAATGCTCCAAAGGGTTGCCGGGAGTTGGACCCGGCAGCTCTTCCACCTGAATTTCTTCAAGTGATAGCTGATGTGAAGGATATAGATATAGCGGAAAATCAGGCGACTGAGAGAGTGGACATTGTAGATGATGATGAAAAACCACGTGATAGAGGCATGCGAAGTACTGCAGAAACAAAGGATCATGTTCCAGCAGTATGAAAGCGCGTTAGGAAGCCAGCACTGTAGAAGAAACCATAGTTACTCAACTGAAGTATGACAGTGAAGAACATTCAAGACAATTCAATTTGTTGACTTTCCTGCATGTGGAAAGTGAACGGAATTTGAACTCATTCCAGGAAATTTGTTCCGGACCGATCAATAATACTATCTTGTTGAGCCTTGGCATCATGCAAAATATTGCATCCCTGTACTTCAGCGAGTAAGTGAAGAACTGCTACTAGGTAGCAACTTGAAACAGAAACAACGAGGACTGATGTATATTCACAGGTTTCAGCCCAAAGACAGACAACTTGGCTCATATGCCGACTTTATTTGGCAACAAGTGAATTGGGGGCTCCTTGAGTTCATGTAATATACACTACAAGGCCTGTAGATATACAAGTGAGTCACACCTCATTTAGCCACAGTTGTTCTCACCACAATTTTACGATAAAATTGTTGTAACGTAGGAATTTTTAATTTTTTTGTAGACACTAGTTAGTTTTCTTGGTTTATACTGAAGTGGATTTATAAAGATCTGCTGAAGCAAAACGAACTTTACAATGTGATCTCATGTCTACCCCTGGTTCTTATTCATAAACACTTTGGTTCGGTTATGATGAACACTGATGCTTGTGCTTCTACAAGAGCTTTCGGCATGAATAAAATTTAGTTTTCAAACCTAAAAAATTACGAGTAAATTATAAATAAATTTATAATGTAATTCCTAATTCAAAAGATTTTGGCTTAAGTTTGTTAATGACAACATTGTGAAAGCAAAATAAATAATTTAAACAAAAAAAAAAAAGAGTTGCTTAACTACTTTTTGCGGGAAACTCTAACTGTACGTTCACACACCACTTGAAACCGCACAAGAGCCCAACGGTTTATGATGAGTTGCTAAGTAAAGTGGGTTGCGTACTCCTTTGGGTATGCAGTATGCATTCTTCTCTTAACTTCTAACAACCAATTTAATGACAATAAATTTACACCAAGTATGAAGCAATTTTGACAAATATTAATTAAGTCATGATTAGATCATATCGAATATTGCTGTTCTTTTTAAGATAATTTGACAATTACTACCTATAATTGTCGTTGTTTTAGCAATTATCATCTATAGTTTTTTTTTTTTTTTTTTAAAATTTTTTTTACCACCTACTATTTTTTAAAACATCAAAACTTTCCACCTACTTAGTTCTCAACTCAAATGTGATGTCATGTGGGGCCCACTAACTACCTTTTCCCTCCCATTTTTTCTTTCTCACTCGATTTCTCATTCCCCTGTAATGTATTCCTCTCAAAATTGGGAAAAAAACTTCAATTTGTGAAATAATTAACATGAATATGTAATTTAATTTGAAGTTTTTCCCCAATTTTGAGAGGAGTACAATATAGGGATGAGAAGTTGAGAGAGAACGAAAGAAAAGGAGGGAAATAAGGTGAGAAGGTAGTTAGTGGTCTTCACATGACATCACACTTCAGTTCAGAGCCAAATAGGTAGGAAGTTTTGATGTTTTAAAAAATAGTAGGTGGTAAAATTAAAAAAAATAAAATAAAATTGTAGGTAGTAATTGCAAAAACAGCAACAATTGTAGGTGGTAATTGTCAAAAAAATCCTTCTTTTTAATATAGTCTATAGATATAATCAAGACGATGAAGTATATATGTATCATCAATTTGTCACAAAATTTTTAAGAATTCAATATTAACTTGAGTCACTGTACGTACAATTATACCTTTGAGTTGAAGGTAAGGTAAAAGGATGCCAAAGACTCAAAGGCATCATTCTAAGGACCTCAGTCCCACGGTTCTCGATAAGAGTTCTGTTGCTGGTGTACCTTGAATATCAAATTCAAGACATTAGGAGAATGAAATTATTCCAATGATACCAAATACTTCCTTCAATCATCATATTATATGTTTGTTTTTTTTTCCAGTTTTTCATAAGATAATCAACGTCTAAACAAGAAGAATTTTTAGACACGTAAAGTGAACACTTGATTTTATATTAAAACAACACTATGGATGCATTCTATTCACCAGATTTTCACTTATCTACTCATTTTAGTTATAATTTGTACTTGGATAACCCTTATCAGAAAACCTGGACTTATCTAAACTTAAGTGAACTAATACAAACTAATAAAACCTGAAATAAATGAAAATAAGATGAATAGAGTAACATGCCCTATAAAGTATGAAAAAAAATTTCACCGCAATTCGTAATCTGTAATCGTTTTTTTGAATCAATATAGTTCATAATTAAAATTAACCAATAAAAAAATCAATCTAATACAAGTAGTACTCGTAGTACTTCTTACAACGTTAGTGAGACACATGTAAACGTGGCATCCACGTAGACAAAATACACCAATAACAACATGCCATGTCATAGCGTTGACGTTTAAGACTGAGGCTGTCTAATGGGAGTCTTGATTTCTCTCTCTTCTCAATTTCTCATAAATTAGCTCTAAAACCATCAACAAATTTCTTCAGACCGACAAAAAAGCCGCTTTGAAGAGAGAGAGAAAGTGTTAGACAGAGGAATTCATGTTTTTTCCGGAGTAAAGAGAAAAACTTTTTTCTTTTTTCACATTCTTCGGATAATTCCGTGAAATTCTCTTGTTTTTCTTTTTTTCAAACACCCAGTAATCATGGTATTTTTCTCTTAAATCCCCCTTTTTTTATAATTTGATTTCGCTTTTTATAATGTTGTAAATTTTAACTAATTTTATGTTTATTATGATTTTCTCTTTTGGCTGGTAAATTTGTGATCTTATTGTTGAATTTTCAATTTTTTGATATGTTTGACTGAATGTTAATTACATTCATGCAATTAATTTTTTTTTTTTTTTTTTTTTTGGTTTATTCATGAATTTGGATCTTGTTTGATTAAATTATGATTGAATTTTGAAATGGGTTTGATTTTTTTGTTGATAAAGTGTGAATGAGATCTGTCATTTTCTGCATGCAGATGCGAATTGCAATGCATGAACTGATGGCTTAAATTTTAACAACAAAACCCAAATCTTAATATTTAATTGTTATATTTTATAATATAACGTTGGAATTTGTTGATTTGGTAAACCACTTGTGTTTGGTGTATTAATTAGATTGTAAAATTCTTCTTAGATTATTTGGAGGATGATTTAATGGTTCTTTAAGGTTAATTGAAATAAAAATTGAGTAATTGGGGTTTGATATGTGTGAAATATTTTGATGGCAGAAGCAATATTTTGAGAAAATTTAAGAAGAATGGTTATTGGCGGGGTGTATGAAAATGATACATGGTTGATATAATATATGGTTGTTGCTAGTTTTTATATTTGTGGGTGAGTTGTTCTGTATATGTGTTTGGTGATTGTGCATTTGTGTTAAATGTTAATAGTTAGTTTATGGTGTATATAAGGTTCAATTCTATGCACTCATCAAGTTTTATGTGCAGTTGTAAAGTTATGATTGAAGATTCGTCGAACGCTTTGTAATGAATGTGCATTCATTGAGATTAGCATAATGGATTTTATATTGGCTATTGAATTGTTGGTGGAATATACGTATGTATAGAATGTAGAACACCCTTTGAGGATTTGGCATCTAAATGACCCTTTTGTAATGTATGACTGCTACATATTAGCTCATTGTGTGATGTGTGTCTTTTATGTAGACGACCTCAAGACGTGTTGCTGACAGGAAGAACGAAAAGTTCCAGAAGAATGTCACAAAGAGAGGCTTTGTTCCCGAGACTACTGTCAAGAAGGGTTCTGATTATCCCGTTGGGCCTATTTTGTTGGGTTTCTTTGTATTCGTTGTCATTGGCTCATGTAAGCTTCTGTTTTGCTTTACTTTGTCATTAATTGTTGGTTGTTATTTTTCAAAGCCATCCTTGTTTTGTAGGAAGAATTTTACCTAGTTTTTTTTACATGTTTTATTGTCTGGTATGACACAAGACTTCTTGAAGCCATATACTACAATACTTCAATACCTCTGTCCTAGTGTAGTGACTATAGGTTGTTCACGGAGATTTGGGAATAGTTGAGGGCCTTGAGGATATTTAGGGTGTGATTTGCATTTAAGCTTAGAAAGATGGCTTTGATTTCTGCAATTGCTTATATGAGAGTTTCCTGTAGACTGGCCACATTAACAGCTGCACAACATATACAAAGTAGAACATCGTTTGATTTCTTTGGTATTTTCGAAACTGCCCTACCTGAAGGCTGAAGTTTTGCACATCATTGCTGTAAACATTAAGGGGGCTGTTTGGTATGAATATTGGAAACGGAATGGACAGGAAACAAATAAAGGGAGGAAAGAAATCATTTAACCATTACCTTTTCATTTATTTGGTTTAACCATGGAATGAAATCACTTAACCCAACTTCCTTTCTATTTGTTTAAGGAGGGTAAGGGTAATTGTTACCTTAGGTTTTAGAGAGGTAACAAATAGGTGGAAACCATTACCTCTAGATAATGGTAATTGTTACTCAAACCTTCTAATCAAACACTTGGTAAGGGTAATGGTTTAATTGAATTTCAAGCAAAAAAAATCCCTTACCAAACATGCTCTAAGGCTTATTACTTTATTTTCAGTTGGCAGCTTCAAGCTGTAGAAAGTCTAGAAACCCTTCCCCCTGAGTCCTGAGTCCTGACTAATTGTGAGTTTCGAGGGCTTCAGGTTTGACTATGCTAGTTATGCATGAACAAGACTAAGCGTATGGACAATTTATTTATTTATCTATTTTTTTAAGGGCAGGGTGTGGGTTTGATGGTGGAAACTGAGTTTCATTTCTACATGTGGCTTCAAGATTTGCAGTATATTCCTTTTGAGGATTGACTCTACCTTTTTTGTTTGAAATAGAAAAGACATATTCTGGTTGCATTTTCATCTGGATTCTTTATTCTCTATCTGCATCCTTCTTTGGTCATATTACTCTCTTCATTTTTGTTCGCTGAGGACGCACTTGACCTTTTCTACACATGATTCCTGATAGTCTGAAGTTATAAAATCTGTGGAAAATAAAATCCACAATTCTTGAAACTATTTTTCAAGAGGAACTTGGGAGGAAAAACCATACATCTTATCTGGTTGTTAGAATCAACCCATCTTTTGAATTGTTGACGAAAGTTTATAAATTTGTCATGTGGTTGTGTAAGCTCTTTTACTAAAATTGTTTATTTCCTCCTTTTCAGCTCTCTTCCAGATTATCAGGACAGCCACAAGTGGAGGAATGGCTTAAATGCACAATGTGATGTTTAGCTTTTTTTCATATGTTTAGTCCACAGAAATAGTAGTAATCGAGATGAATGTACCAACCGTGTTGTTCGAATGCAAATTTGAATAAATAATAAGATGCAGTGATGCACATTCTCTACTCGCTTGTTTAACATGCTCCCTTTACTTACTGCTATTGCTTTGATGATACACTTACAGTCTGGGTCAGTTCCTTCACTAAGTGCCTGCACTTTTCAATGGAAAAGATGGTGGCTTAAAACAGAATGTAAGTTACAGAGTACTGAAATCCTTGTGCGGCAATAATACGTATATTGTTATGGAATGGTCGTCCAAGTAGTTATTCGCTCCTTTCCCCCTCAAGTTGACAAGAGAGTTAAAGTTTGTAGATTGTTACGTGTAGTTCGCTACATAAAAATTTCGGCTGGGATGGGTCATCCTCAGCTATCAGGAGAGACATAACAGATCCTTTTAGCATCACGAAGACTCAACATAGAAAAAACACTACCTTTTTAATAGCAAAGGCAATTGCTTTAGTAGTAGTTTTCAACGGATGAATGTTTACTTGTTTAGAAGGGAACCCTTCATGTCCTTGGACGTTGCATATTGTAATTGGCGATGTTCATACTCTTATGGAGCATTGCTCAAAATTTCCATTTTTACCATGCTTATAGAAAGTAAAAAAGCGCAAAATATGTAGCGAATTGGCCACATAATTAGATAAATTCTAAGATGGTTAGACCTTCATTTGTCTTTCTTTTCGGATCCAAGTAGGTTTGGAAATGGTCATTTGTCTTCAAACAATCTAAACTATTTGCAATATGTTGAATATAGCACATTTTAATGATAATATTCCCTAGTCCCCGCAGTATCAACTATCAACCTATTTTTGTATACAAGGGCACCTTTGGAGATATTACTTCCTCTTTCTTCTTATCGGAAATCCATTTATAAGTCTTTGGTAAAGTCTGGTGCTCAACTAAGTATGCTACATGCTCAAGAGTCAAGAGGCATTGTGTGACTGCAACCTGTGTGTGCTGTGGAACAGATGATATGAGCACCGTGCAGTCTTTTTCTGTTTACGGTGCTCTTCTCAACAAGTTTGAAGTGTATCAAGATTGATTTCGTGGCAATTACAGGCAGTTCAGATTGTGCAGGAAGATTGCACAAGGAGCCAAAGACCCCTGTATGGTGTACTCAAGCTCGTCGACAAAAAGAACTGTTGTGATATCTAGCTCTGACATGAACTCTTGACAGTTCAGGAAGTTTGCAAAGATCCTAAGAACTGATCCTGTGGGATTTACAGCAATTTGTTACATACGAAGTAAAACTGGCGACGGAGATCCTTTCACAGAGGTTAAGTAGACTATAGATGTTTTTCCATATATAATGCTGTTTCAAATTTTCCCCGAGTAATTAAGGAAACACTTAGATATTTGGCTCTGGTTGCTTTCACAGCTTGTGACCTTCATAGTTTATTATTTTGACCTTCATAATTACTCTGTTCACATGATTGTTATTCAAGCTCAGTCGAAGATGGGATCAAAGGTAAAATTTGTTATTCCAGGAAGCATTTTCAGAGACAATTTTCTATTTCAAGCCGCGAAGATGCAGCAGGAAATAAGGTTTCAAGGGCTTGTGTTTGTTTTTGTGTAGTTGTAAGAGCTAGTTTAGCTCAATATAGTCCTTCGTTGAATTCTGTTAGTTTGTAATAGCTGTTGATGAAGCTTATGTCACAAAAAAAAAAAAAAAAAAAAAAAAAAGGTGGTTTATGCTTAGAATTGCGTTTTCAAATGACACGAATCAACAGAAATTCTATCGTTTGTAGCTAGCTCATCACCTATGGCCAAAATCGCGTTTTGCATGCTGTCTCTCAAAAGCTGTGATATAATGTTCAACCCACAACATTAGAACAAAAACAAAACACTGCCAAAGATGACACAAATAATAAGTACTCCGTAGTATATCAATTTTACATGACACCGTCTCGGATGTTAAGTTTTGCAAGTTCTAAAATACACTGCTCAGCAGGTTCTTAATTTTGTAATAATCAAAATAAAAACAACAAACTTTCGTGTATTCAAACACTTGGGTAAGGATAACAGCCATTGTATTCTTACAATCAAAGTATTCTTGCAGGGTACTGAAGCCTGAATGTTGCAGCATCTGAAAACATGGAAAGTACTTGGCAATTAATAAAAGAATAGAACTATTAAGGAACCGCGGTAAGGCAAGGGTTAAAAGCAGTTCCACAAGCAATCCATTGCCGTTTCCTCCCACGTGGAAGAACACAACCAGGAACCTTCAACCACTCCCGTTTCGCCACATCATAGGTGACGATCCGGTTCATCTGTCGTGACCGCAGTGACAGCATGAGCAAACTCTTGTTGCCCAAGCAAGTCATCCGCACGTGCTTTCCGTAAAACTCTAAGCACCATACATTTGGCATTCTGTCAACCTCCTTCCACAAGAGCGTCATTTTCTGAAGCTCCCATACACACACACAAGTGGCAGCATTCTTTGTCAGCAATCCCACCAAGAAGATTCGGCCCCCACACTCCGCAAGGTTGTGGTCGGTCGAGTTTGGTGGGGTTGGGATGAGGTGTTGCTTCCAAATCCCGCTCACCATGTCACAGGACACAATCCCATCAGGTTCTGACCTCATGAAGTAGATCGTGGCATCGACAGACACCGTATTTGATCTAAAATTCAGTGAAAGTGGGAGCTTGATTCCTGAGGGCAAATTTCCCGGGCGTGCCCAAGTGTTTTTTAGAGAGTCATAGATTTCATACTCCCCATCACGACCGAACCATAATATCTTGTAGCCATGTGTAGTTGAATTTCCATATTGAATCATACCAACAGCAACACGGGACCAGACCTTGACAGATCTTGGAGGGAGCTCTTTCCAAACCTGGGTCAGAGGGTTACATATGTAAAACAACCGATGACCTATATCAAGGAAGCAGACGAGACCCCCTACAGAAGCAACTGGCAACAGGATAACCTTAGGAGGAAGTGGAGGGATGGTAGGATGGCGCCATTTCTTTGCAGAAGGATCATAAATAGCCCCTGTGTTCACATTTTCATGAGTTATGGTATAGAACCAAGGTTGTGATAGAGACACTTGGGCACAGTGTTCTGTAAAGCTCCTCGAGGTAAGCATGCCATTCCATTTCCGACACACTGAACGGAAGCGGAAAAACGTAGCGATGGGAAGCCTAGCAATGACTGCCTCCAAAAGGTCCTCAGGAAATTCCTTCCAGAGCTCCTGACTCATGTTTTCAGATGAGTTTGAGGATCCAGAATGCTTTCCACGATTTCGTTCTTTCCGAGATCTCTTGGTGGGAGGTGGCTTATAATGATCGACCATTTTTAAACTCCCAGGTTTTTCAGCTGGCATGATGACGCTATTGCAGTTTTCTTCCACAAGATTGTCATCAAGATTGAGGAAACAGCTACTGTAAAAACAGCAACTATAAATCAAATAATTATAAGCAAATATGCCTTTTTAGCATGTAAAAACAATAAACAAAATCTTCAAATCATCATGAGGATCAGTATAAATAGTTTAAGGTCTGCAAATACAGCAAGGATTTTTAACATTAGATACAAGGAAATTGCTTTCACTCCCAAATTTTCAGAACATTCCCACCCTCTCAAATAACAAGATTAAGAGAGGGAGTGCAACAGCTAATATGTGGAATGCAAATATCCACATAAAACCCCTGGGATTGAATTAGGAGTGATTGTCTCTGTAGACTGTGCAATACAGCATGTAAATGGCATTGTCCTTAAATCGAGGACATCCAAATAAATACATTTGATGTATAGGTTCATCAAGTCAAGAATGTAACCCTAAAATCCAATTAGGTCATTGTCCCATCACTTCCAAGTATAATTCATTAAACAGTAACCTAACTAAATCTCAGAACAACGACAGAGATCACTAACAGGGTAACAGGTGCTGATGTTTAATCCTCCTAAAGCTTGATAAATAGCATCTTCATATAACATAGTAATTAGAAATTGTATATTCATCCACCTGATGCTCTAAAAGCTTTGAACCACAAAGATAAATGTAGCAAGATGAATAGGGTTTGGATGAAAAATCCAGAAGAAAAAGGGAGGGACAGTGAGGGATTATCTTCCCTAATTTTAATATAGAAAGGGGAAGCAAAAGGTAATACTGTTTTGAAGGTCGACCACATTGTCTATATATAGTTAGCTTCAATGCTTTAAAATACAATTAATTCTAGCAAATATTTATTCAAAATCACTTCCAATTTTACTTCTATAACACCAGCAGTAGGCCTCACCTCAACCTTCATTAATCACACAATACAAGTCACGATGTTCAACACTGAACAAATGAACAGTAAGCAACAGTTTTGACTGTTGCCCTTTAGGCCATTACTTTGGTGAAGCAGATGCAACTCATAGGAGAAACCAATGTGTCATTCTGTTTTTTTTAAATCAAGAACAGACTTCATGACTCAAATCCCTAACTCTAAATCCTAAACCACCACTGCTCTGCCCCCCACTCCAATTAGAAGGGGTAAACAGTCTAAACACCCCTTCAAACTGCTAATTTTCATGAGGTAACGCTCCAAACATGCCTTAACAAATTTTTCTATAAAGAAACAAAAAATGTGGTTCACAGTCAATGAGTTAAGAGAGATGAGCAAACTATTAACCCAAAAAAGATTTGGATGAATTTTGTACTTCTCTTTATCTAAATACAATGACTTTAAAACAACTAAACATCTTTCTGAATGAAACAACTGCCATACCACTCCCATTGGTATGATGGCAGGACAATCAGAATAGAAAGCTCAACCATAGCCATAAACATCTCTGCCTTTTACCCTCCTGTTCCTTCCAGTTCCCTTCCTTTATAAATAACCCTAGTAACACTAATCTCAAAGGCCATCCAACACCAGCTCTTCAGTGGTTTGCGACTTCCCAGAAACTACTATATTTAGTTTCTGTCACCAAAAAAAAAAAAAAAAAAAAAAAAAAACCCTACTACTACTATATTTAAGTAGTTTATCTCTCATCAACATCTGCTACACATTTATCCTTTTAGCAACTCCTTAAGGTCAACCTCATATCAACTCAACCTAAAATTAGAAATCAGTT